GAAGTATTTTGGATTAGGTGATTGTTAGTAAACAACTCCTATGCTAGCTAATTGCAAATTAACCTTTTTATAGGTTAGGTTCTAAAGTTCTAAAAAATAGAAAAGGCTTTGTAGTTTAATATTATAAACGTAAGTAGTAAAAATAAAAGTATTTTTAAAAATGAAACAATTCTCCTTTTAATTAATCGTATTTCAAAAGTGATTTTATATGATTCCAAATGTCATGATTTACAATTCTAGTAGCATTTTCTTCTGACATGAGATCAGGTTTATAAATACTCCACGTGACCCGACTGATCCTTTGGAGAGAAATGTTTAGTCGAGCGCATTGAAGGTTTTGCTTTTTTTTTTACTCACAATATACTCAAATGTATATCAAATGAAAGAATTATTGTCGGCACTTTCAATAATATTGAATTATAACCGAATGAAGGCTATGGTGCAAGTGTATGTTTCTATATACTCTATATATTTATAACGTGGTAAAAAAAAAGAACTCAATTTTTTTTTCGATTGGTCATAATGAGTTAACTATCACAGAAAAAACTTAGTCTCATTTTTGTTGCAACTCAAAATGAGTTAATGTTAAACGACATAGAAAATGTCAACAACATTTTGTGTCTACAGAAAAACATATAGACAGACACAATCGACGGACCATGATTTTTCGATTCAGGGCATCTCAAAACGTGAATATTTGAAGGAATTAGCGAAAGCTAATTGAAGACCCCGATTCTATAAGGAGACTATTACGCTTGAAGCAGCCGCGTTGCGACAAGTCAGGATGGTCCAAAAATGGAAAAAAATGAAATTCAAATTTTTTAAAAACGCTATTCTGTAGGAAATGAAAATCCGCACCTTTTTTTCTTTGAGATTTTTTTATAAAACGAATATTAAAATTAATAGAGGTAAAAAAGTAGAACATTTTTTTTACGATAATTTAATGGACTTTTAAAACATAACTCTTCGGAATTTTGACAAATATTAATGGATTTTTTTGAAATTTGGTGCATTTTATTTCGTTTATACTACTAAAGACGACAATTATAAAAAAATCAAGAAAATTGTTATTATTTTCTTCTATTATATTAAGTTAACAAATTTCCAAAAGCGACACCAACACCTCGACACCGTCCTTGGAAAATCTATTTTCACTTATTTTCAAATAAATCAAAATATACTTTGCCATATGCTTTTAGAAAATCTTACATACTTTCTTTTGTAACATGTTTTTTCAATTTTAACCCGAAAAAGGGTTATTTTGCATTTTCATCCCAAAAAAGGGTTATTTTGCAATTTTATGGAATTTTTTACGAATTTTTGGATATATACCTTTAAAATCTCTTTATAAAGGTTTACTGTGGATAATAAATATAAAAACCGATATTTTAAAATGTTTTCGATTTATTATGAACATTTTTCTAAAAAATTTGCAAAATCTCCTTGTGTTTGTGGGGCAATTTACAGCAATATAATATAATATAATATAATATAATATAATATAATATAATATAATATAATATAATATAAGATAAAAAAATATGTGACGCGATCTTAAGAAAGGGACCTTAGAAGCAAATGAATTATAGGTTATGTTTATGACAGTTTTACTTGAACTAAAAGTTTATTTTTGTTTTTATAAAACTGAAATCAGTTTTTATTGAATACTTTGGATGTAATGAAGACCTAAATATCATTAGTTTGCATTACGAGTTAAACGTCTTTGGGTATTTTCACTTAAAAATTTCAAAAAGTAACCTATAATTTTTTGCTTCTAAGGTCCCTTTCTTCAGATCGCGTCACATATATTATTATATAATATATTATAATATAATATAATTAATATTGTTGTTATAATTATAATAAATTAAAACATTTAATATTTAACAATTGTCATTTCATCCTTCTACTGAAAAAGTTATCGAGGGAATTTTCATTTTGAAAAAACTTCTCGCGACAAAGTTTTTCCTTACATATTAAAGAAGTTTTACCAAAAGTTTGGAATTAATTTTATAAAAAATAAAGAAGTTATAACGAAAATAGTGAAAACCTATTTTTCCTTATACTGCAGCAGTAGCCATGATACCTCACGGCTTAGTTTCTTCAGGGGCGTTCTTATTATATAATTCACCCTACACTCGATCATGCGAAATAATTTGTCATACAAATTTTTGATTTTACTAATAATGAAATATTTTTGTATTCTATTTCTGTTAATAAACAAAAATATATCCAAAATACATATTAAGAATTATAATTTATATTTGAAATCAGTATTTATACATTTTGAATAGGAAAAATAATAATTTTCTTATACAAAATGAAATAATAATTTATTATTTAATTTAAGAAATATATTTTTTATAACAAATAAATAATTATTTTTTGATGTTCGAGTGTAGGGCGAATTATATAATTAGAACGCCCCTGAAGAAACTAAGCCGTGAGGTGTCATGGCTACTGCTGCAGTATAAGGAAAAATAGTTTTTCACTATTTTCGTTATAACTTCTTTATTTTTTATAGAATTAATTCCAAACTTTTGGAAAAACTTCTTTAATATGTAAGGAAAAACTTTGTCGCGAGAAATTTTTTCAGAATGAAAATTCCATCGATAACTTTTTCAGTAGAAGGTTGAAAAACACATGTTTTTAAAAAAATGTTCTACTTTTTTACCTCTATTAATTTTAATATTCGTTTTATAAAAAAATCTCAAAGGAAAAAAAGGTGCGGATTTTCATTTCCTACAGAATAGCGTTTTTAAAAAATTTGAATTTTAGTTTTTTCCATATTTGAACCACCTGACTGGTCGCAAGGCGACTGCCTTAAGCGTAATAAGTCTTATAGAATCGGGGTCCTCAATTTTTTATAAATATGCTTTGAAATTGATACTCATATTATAGGGGGCATTTAAACTCTTTTTCACGCTGCCAAGTGGTTCTTAATTCGTAAACTAATTTAAGTTCAATTACTTAATTACTTATTGTTAATTGTAATCTCTTTCATGCTCCATTTTACGTACAATCAGAAAAAAGCTAATCTCAATTTTTGCGGATCCATATACATATATATATATCTCATTCTGATGGAATTTCTCCTTTTATAGTATATTAAAAGTATTATTACCTTTCTATTTAAAAGGATATTTTTCTATTAAAAGAAACAATTTTTGTTTGGTTTTTAAATTATTATTTATTATTTCCAGAGAGATAGAGCCAAATTAAACTATGTAATTTTTTGCGGTAGATTCATTTTTTAATAGCACGCCATTTTTATTTAATTTTTTTTCAATAATTAATAATAGATATTGATATATATATATATATATATATATATATAAACAATGAACTTTGATTTTTTAATTTTTGATAGTCAGAATTGGCTATATCGGAGGGACCGCAAAAAATTACAAACTTTACATTTTGACTTATATTTAATGACCACTGGAAACAAGAAATAATCAAAACTAAACGAAAATTGTTCCTTTTAGTTGAAATATTGTATTTTTAAGGATAATTTTTTTTTCAATTTAGAATAAAAATGAGAGAGAAAAAAAATTATAGTAAAGAGGTGCCGATTTTTCGCGTTTGCAAACGGACATCTGCCTTAAAATCCTCTCAACATCAGTAAATGGATTTTTTTTTCTCTTATAGTATATGAAGTTATTTTTTTTCGAATTGTATATGAAAAAGAAAAATATTTAAAATAAATAATATGTGATCTGGACTGTGCCATTTTGATTTTTTTTAAAAATGATGCCATATTCGTAATTAGTAACCCCGAAAACCCATGAGTAGCAAAGTCTCAAGCAAATCCGATAGGTTTTTAATTTTTTTTGTCCGCCATATTGGATCCGCCATTTTGAATTTTTTTGTAATCAGCTATCCCAAAAACACCCGAGGAAGGAGTTTCAAGGCATTAAGGGGGGAACACCAGTTGTAACTTTCGAAAAATCAATTTTTTTTTTTGTGCATTTTCTTAAAGTACACATATTTAGAAATGTGTCTGTAAATTTCAAAGTTGATCCGGTGAAAAATAAATGAGATATACAGAACACTGCATCGGCGCGTCCCGTGGCTTCATACAAGGTGGCCAGCCATAACTGACCCTAACGACAGATGGCCTTTTCCTATGATTTAGAAACGGCAACCACTGCGGAAGAGTTATTATATGGTCCAAGAATCGATGACTCTTTGTAACTTGGAAACAAAATTTCTTCTGAACAAAAAAAAGTAAGTTGAAACTTTGAATGCGTTTTTCTCAAAATGACATTTTCCAAGTCGGTGACCACGATTACTCGAATACCATTAAACCGATTTATTTAAAATTTAGTGTGCTTCATTTACACATATAAGTCTAGTTCGTGATCGAAGGATTTTTTTTTTTATGCAAAACTTTTTTTTATATAGCTGAAAATCGACCGTATTTTTTTAACGAAAATCATACTTTTGACTTTGACAGGTCGCCATTTTGTCAAATTTTTTTTTTTTTTTAAATCCTTCGATCACGAACTAGATAATCTTATAATAAATGTAAATCAATTTCATTTTTGTATTTCAGACGAAGTATACTTGCAGAATGCTGGTCACCGCAATTCGCCTTTTTTCTTAAGACGCCACTTCAATGGCTCATATCTCCAAAAGTTTTTGTTAAAAAAATTTTTTTTTTCTTTTAAATTACAGCTTTTTACATGTACTTTTAACTAATAAATAGTATTCTTTAAAAAGATTCATTGTTCTTTTGGAAAATATTCTTGAAAAAAGCATTATTTTTTGAGTTACAACTGGTGTTCCCCCCTTAAAGCGTGAAGATGTATCAATATTAACTTGTTAATATTGATTATTAATTATCTAATTTAAGATCGTTTTTCTCGAAATCTTGTTTTTGCACGTAAGCCACCTTTTTACTGTCCAGGTCACACATATATATATATATATATATATATATATATATATATATATATATATATATATATATAATTATTATTTTTGCTTTAACTTACCGAACACAATGTATAGAGCAATTCCTCCAATTCCAAGAAGGGCTAATATCACGATGAGTAATAGTACAATAGATCGGGTACAACCAGAGGGACCTGTGAGGGGTCGGGCAAAATGAAGAGTCCAACCATGAGGATGTTTTCGTAGTCGTGCCGGATGAGGGGGTGGTTCACCCCTTACACTTCTACGTAAATTAACTCGATTTTCAGAGGTTGGCGTGTGTGTCCGTACCGGGAGGGAATTCGCCCTCTGTAACAAATACAAAAAAAGAAAACAAATTAATTACACATTTTATGAATGATGAATATAAAAATTTGTGAATTTTAATCTTTTTTTTTAATGGTTAGTAGCTTTTTTAAAAATAACATTTATTATTATTATTATCATTTTTTAATATTGTTATTATTATATTATTTTGTATCATTATTAATATTTAATAGTATTTTTTTTTAAAGTGAAAGTTTACTGTCTCTACTTTGAGCATCGAATATCTTATTATTATTTTGGAACTTTGCCCAACAAACACTTTGCTAATTGTGTCACACCTATTTACTAAATAATAAATATTTTATTTTCCGTTCAGTTCAATAAAATATATATTTATTTCACCAAGAATTGGATTTATTTTTATAGTAATAGGTGTAAGACATTAATTATTATTAAAAAAATTAGTAAAAAAAATTATTATTATTATTATTGTCAAAATATACACGGAAAGAAATAAATTTACTATAGCAACTATAAAAATTTACAATTACCAGCAAACAATTTTACTATATATGTCATTAAATTTAATCTTAATTTAAAAAAAAATGAAAAAAAAAATATTTAGTGATTGTTTTTGAGAACACTATCATTTTGTTAAACTTATTTTGTTGTGCCAAACATATTTTGGTTGTTTCAATCAAAATATATGGTTCTCAATGTACTCACGCATGCGCATTTAATTGAAATGGAAAATGAACCATAACCTCAAAACAAGTGTCATTTTATTTTTTTTTGAAGTGTACATAAAGTTTTAGTCGCCTGGGTATCTCTCGAAAATAAAACACAAAAATTATTTATTTAAAAACAAGAATAGAAATATTTATTATAAACTTTAATTTGCTCTCGGAGCGAGGTTGTGCTCAGGACGAAGAATTAGGTAAAGACTGAATGAAAAAATGGTGACAAGGTTTTCAAAGCGTCGCTTGGGAAAAGAGAAAAACGATAAAATTAAAGAAAATTATTGTAGTTGAACAAGGATGGAAAATGTGTAAAAAAAAGAGGGTAAGAAGTGTACAGAGAGTACATTGCCGGGCTATTTGAACGAACCAATTTTATGATAGGGTCGGCCGTATTTAAGAAATACAAAAAATTTAAATATTGAAAATATACATTAAATATTCTGAGCACAACCATATTGCAAATATATAAAATTACAAGTATTAATAAAAATGTTATATTAATACATATTGTTTGTGTGTGCGTGTATTTGTGTACATGTTTGTGCATTTTTAGATTAGTGTAATATATAAAATATAATTATAAAGTTTATATTGTCCAAAATGTGGAAATAAATTTCCAGACGCCACAAAGTTATAATATTATTTCAATTATCTTTCAAGATTAAGTTGATAAAAATTGAAATTTATTTTTCTAATTTACTAGTATTATAATTAAGCTATAAAATCTCATTTGCATAAAAATCAATCTATTAACCTTCAGGAAGTTGGCGTCGACGCTCAGCGCCGAAAATTGTTTTTTACAGGACAAAAAATGTCAAATTATTTTCTTTTAAGATTTTCGGTCCAAATAATGCCTTGAGAAATAATTTTCAAAGTATTATGTGGACCCAAAACATTTTTAAAAATAATTTGATATTTTTGACCTCGTGAAAAATGTTTTTTTATCGCTGAGCGTGTCGACGCCAACTTCATGGAGGTATATCTATTAGATATATATATATATATATATGTTAACAGTTGTTTTTCAAAAACATATATTATATGGAGGTATATACGAATTTACATATTTCTCGCAGGTAAATATAAAAAATGTGTACATATGAAAGCAATTACAAAAGATGACATTAACTGATAAGATCATATATATATATATATATATATATATATATATATATATATATAAGTTTGTGTTATGAGCGCGCAAGGAAAAGACATAAAATTTTTCACACGCGCATGCAAATTGGAACCTGGTTACTTAGCGAAAGACAACAACGACGACATATTATGTTTCATGCGTGGGAGTTAATGACATAATCAGAAGGGGGAGTTTGGGGGGCTAACTCACATATTCCAGTTTCATTAAGAGGATGAGATGAAGCAATGTCTTCCGCAAGCCTCTGCAATGCAGTTGCATGTTTTTACTGTTCTTTTTTTTCAGACCTGCGCTACTGACCTCAAGTGTCAGTGAATTTAACTCCAATTATAAATCTTAACACACGGAATTTAAAATTTTTATATTTTACTAAATAATGATTTTTTGATTTAATCATAAAAATTTAATCTTAATATACTTGTATAATAATTAAAAGCTAGACTAATTTTTTTAATCACATCGAAAATTTTAATTACAGAAAAAACCTGAACTCATTTTTGTTGCAACTCATTTTGAGATCGGTATCAAATTGAGTAAATGACGAATTTCAAGTTTCTCAATTTGAGAGCGGCTTAATTTTAGATTTTTAGGTTGGTATCATTTTCAAACTGATTTACAATTTAAATAATAAATCATTATTTGTTTAAATAATAATTAATTTTACCAGTTTTCAAATTTCGCGCCATTGTTTAGATTGGCAGTACTGTTTTTTCTGTCAAAACATATGTTTTCACGTTTATAACCTAAAAATATATTTCTCTTACTTAAAATTTTACTACACGATAACAAGCAATTACCTTTTAAATTAAACATTATAATAAGTTGAATTTGTTATTTTTATTTTTTGGGTTTTTATATATTTAATTCTCCTGTTTGGCTCTTGGTGTAGCCAGGCTCTATGAATCGTACTCAATTTGAGATCAGGTTTTTTTTATGTATTTTTAAGACAATTTTGAAAGCTTAAAACTTGACATGAAACTTATTTTTAATAGTTGAAATAATTGCCTAGAAAACATTATATATGTGACGCTCCACGATAAAAAGGACCTTAAAGGAAATAAATTTTAGGTTATGTTTAGTGATAGTTTCTGCTTGATTAAACATTAATTTTTAATTATGTAAAATCAAAATCGTTTTCTATTGAATATTTTCGATGAGCTAATAAAGACATAAACATAAGTGATTTTTTAAAATTATGATTTGGTCCTCTTTGTGTATTTTCAATTTAACAATCACAAACATAACCTTAAAACTTTTTGCCTCTAAGGTCCCTTTTCTCGTGAAGCGTCACACACATATATACAACCAAATTTGTTTTTGTTGCGCCAACAAAGTTATGGTTGTTAATTTTAATATAATTTAATTGAATTTTAATTTTTACAATACATGAAAATTAATATTCTTCTTTGCCAACAAACAATTTTAGTTGGTTCAATAAAATTGTTGTTTTAAAATATAGAATGTAAATTTTTCCCTCAATTTTTTTTTTCATTTCCATATAATTCTTAAAAATCGAAAAAGTTTTTTACGTTTTATCAAAAATTGTTGATTGTCGTAATATTTCGGTTAATTTAAAAAAAATTTAAATAAATAAATTATTTTTTCAGCATATTTTAAATATTATGAAAAAAAATATTATTTCGCATTGAATTCGCATTTTATGATATCATTTAGTACAACCGTTATTTATATTATTTCTTATACATAACATGAAGAATTAATTTTCATTTTATTTAATTAAAAAACAAAAAAAAATCTGTTTATTTTTACCTGGAGTTCTTCAGCCATGGATATTGCATTCTTCTTGATGTGTCAATTTTGACACCAATAAACACCAAATCATACTTTCAAAAATGCGATAAGATTATTATTTATTTTTTTATTTATTTTATGACAAGTTTCTAAAGATAAAAGTTTTTAATTTATTTATTACTTCACGATTTACAATCTAAAATTATAGTGGGTCAAAATTTTTCAAACGGATCATGAAAAAATTAAAAAATTTTAATTTTCAATGTTAAATATTTTTTTTCCTACTGTAATCAAATTAAGTTTCTAAAAATATTAGAACAAAAAAAAATGTTAAAAATAAATAAAATTTTTAGCTGTTATAATAAAAAGGAAATTTCTCGAGATCCAATTGACAAATTTAAAAAGAAAAAAAAAATTTTTTCTCATCTTGGAAAAAAAGTTATTTAAAAATAATTTTTCATTTTAAAAAAAAAACCTATTTTTGGTTTTTAAATTTGTCAACTAAATCTCGGGACAATTTAAAAAAAAAATGTATTTTATATAAACTTAAAAACGTGAGATCATCACTATAATATATCTTATCGGAAAATCTTATTTTTTCAATAAATAAAACTGCAATGGAAATTCGATAACATCAAGTAATATAAATTGATTAACGCTAGATATTAATTATTACACTGCATTGAGAGAAATTTTTTATTCCTTCCCAATTTATAATATAATATTTAAATTAAATAAAAATATATACCTTTGCTAGAGGTATGTAAATAACTATTTTTTTTCATACAAATAAAAATTTTGTATAGTACAAATAAAATTTTTTTTTTATCTATTATAAAAAAATTATTCACGGAATTGAAGTAAAATTTAAAAATTGAAATTATGAACTTTAGTTGAATATTTATGAATATATAAGAATTTTTGAAATAATTAAAATTCGTTTTGACAATTTTTTTTTTCCTTTTTCTTTGAAATGAAAACAATCGTTAAATTGAGTACATTGGCCCGAGCTTCAAAATAGAGAAAATAAAACGTCCATGGCATATACATAAAGTTTCCGCGAAAAACGAGACTCGACGGCGTCGAAGACGTCTAAGAGCCGGCAGACTTCCGGCGGCTATACATAGACATTACATATTCACTTCCGATTGTTTTATTTTGTCGGGCAAAAGTAACACTTTGCCTCTAACCAAAACACCTTACAACTCGGCTAAACTAAATGATTGCGTTTTATTGCTCTTGCATAGATTTTAATGACTTTCTCTATTTAGACGATTAAAACTAAATTTCTCTTTTAAATAATATTATAAATATAAATAATATAATATTATATAATAAATTGAGAATTTTTTTTTATAAATAATAATTATTTACAATAATTGATCGGTAAAATAAAT